AGAAGAACTTTCAAATAGTGAATTTTGTAGTTCTATCTTGTGCGCAATTTCTGGCAAACTTTAACGCTTGGTCACCTATTCTGTGGGACATACGGCTGAAAATACTGAAAGACATCGAAGTCGAAAACCCATAGAAATTGATGAAAAGCCGAATTTTCCTCTGCTAGTGGGGGAGAATGGAGACATTGGACATAGGAACTTGTAGCCCAAGGTGAGATCTACAAAAGTGTATACAGAAAATATTTCTTTTTGGTTTCTCTGGGTGGCAGTAAGTTCGGCATCGTTCCCAATAATTATCGCGATGCTCGACCAGTATACTGATCCTAGATCCTGTAAGGTTAGATGAAAATGGGATTTCTTATATACCATTCGACGCGCCACGAGCTGCTCTACAAAACTGCATATTTGGCTTGTGATTCTTTCGAGAGCGTACGACGTTCACATCGACTTTATCCGGATTGTTCGAGAGTATTTGGACTAGTACAACTTAGGCTCCTGATGACGAATATCACGTTTAAAAAGTTTTAAAACAACGCCATGGTGGTCTTCTAAACCTGTGGAAATTCCATTTCCCAGCAGAATAGCTCGTTTGTAGGCATTTTCACCATTTATCAGTAAAACATTTTCATGAGCTGGTACAGTCAGATTAGATTTTATATGTGTAGAGCTACAAAATTACTAACGAACACAAAGTTCCAAAATGTTAAGTACGCTCTCAGGAGAATTTTTAAAAGATCGTTTTATCCGAAAAGTAGACCTTTTTCTAAACCATATTTTCCGCATAAAATCATATCAACACAAGGCCGCAAGATGTACATTCGACGCGTCCTTTCAAGCTCTATCCGGTAAAGTAGTTTTCACTGAGATTAAAAAATATTCAATGATAGAAAAAATAAACTTTTAATGGCGATTTTCCTCGTTTTTCAAAGTTTGAGTACGTGCTGCACCATTCCACGGGGTTACAGGACATATATCTCCCATGTACTCGACATGAACTATTAGAAAAATAGGTTTTCATCTTTGGCCAAGCACTTTCGAAATAGATAAAAATCCTATGGAATTTCTGCTGAGAAACACGCTCTTCTGAAAGTGCTTGGCCAAAGCGTTTCGAAACGAAATTCCGTCACAACAACAAAAGTACGAACAAAATAACAGTAAGAAATGAAAACATTACGTTAAGTAGAACTATGAAAAAGTCCTGTTCAGTTATGTTTGTTATTTTTCTGTGTGATTTCACTCTCTTTAGGATGTGAACAAGAGTGTTGTCGATCTTTCTCGTTCAGTATACTCCAACACTAAATAAAATCTGAATTGTCAGTATATTGCATGATTGTATCTGACGGGCTCCTATTGCTTTAATGTATCGCTACTATACCGTTATTCGATTAAATTTTAGCAGAACCTGACTTCGTCTGTCTGTCAGATTCGTTTAGCTTTTTGTGCGCGTTCTACTCTCTATAAAAAAGGTTTCTAACGAAACCTTTTGGTCTACGAAACCTAAAATGGTTTGGCTAAAACCTATTAAACCCTAAATCGTTCTGTAATGACTTACGAAACCTTAAATAGTTTCGTCAATTTATGTGAAACCTGAATATGGTACACTGAAACGTGGTACCGTGAACAGTGGTACAAAACTGCAAAAGGTTCCGTACGAAACTTTCTCGGATTACAGTCTAATAAGTTTTGTACGAAACTACATTCAGGTTTCGCATAAATTGACGAAACTATTTAAGGGTTCGTAAGTCGTTACAGAACGATTTAGGGTTTAATAGGTTTTAGCCAAACCATTTTAGGATTCGTAGACCAAAAGGTTTCTACATTTGAAACGAATTCGAAATCTTAACCAGAAAAAGGTTTCGTTAGGAACCTTTTTCTTTTAGAGAGTACTCATGTATGATTGTAGAAAGGAGGAAGGCGGATAGGGGCCGTTTCCATCCCATAATATTTTGCAATACCAAATACATATTCGGAGTCAGCATCATATTCTACGTCGAATGATATATAAATTTCACTCGGAAAACCACTTTTGATTTTTTCGAAAATTTTTTTCCTCTATCCTTCTCAGGAAAATCAAAAAGTCGATATCCTAAAAGGACATCGCTGGTTTTTGCGAAAGTTTGACTAAGAGAAAATTAATCCTATGGCTAACTATAACGGGTGCTTCAGAATAAATCGGTCACTTAGTATTTTGCTCATATCTCAGTTGAATTTTATGTCCTAAGCTTTATTGTTTTCTCAAAAGATGTGCCGTGAAATTTTCTACAAAAAATATATTAAACAGTTTTCTATATACCGTAAAGATAAGAGAATATAAAAGAAATACTGTGAAGCTTCAATCTCGATTACTCTGCGACGCAAGAAAACAACTTTTTCAATTTTAGACCTTCATATTTTGCCAAGCGAAAAACAATAAGATGATCATTCGGTAGCCCTTAAAAAGCGCTATCAAGTTGGTATATTTAAAAACTCTTCGTAATCATAATCGGTTGTGGCAGAATTTCTTTTTCTTTTATCGATTTTTCTTGAAATCAACATTTTCCAACTGCAGTTTTGGCGCAGTTAGAAAAACTTTTATAATTCAGTGAAAAGGGGGGTGAAAAAGGAGGGTTTGTTGTATTTTAAAGTAAAAGAATTCTTCTACTGCATCCTTACAGAGAAAGTTCGTTTCCTGTGTCACGGCGAAAAAGACAAAATTTCCTTTGTTTTAGTAAATTTTCGTACAATTGTCTTTTGTGTCAGAAAAATACGTTTACACCGAATCTATGATAGATGAAAACAAAAGGCGACACTTCAAAGCATTAGAACTTGCGTTCTGATTCCACCTTTATGCATGACACTGTGTTTAAAAATTTTTCTTTTCATTGTTTTTTGCGTTGCAGAGTAATCAAGATTGAAGCTTCACAGTATTTCTTCTACATTCTTTTATATTTACGGTACATAGAAAACTGTTTAATATATTTTTTGTGGAAAATTTCACAGCGCATCTTTTGAGAAAACAATAAAGCTCAGGACATAAAATTCAACTGAGATATGAGCAAAATACTAAGTGACCGATTTAGTCTGAAGTATAACTTGGCACATTTCAGTCTGCTGCTGTTTTTTAAAATTTCTTTTTATTGAGTAGAAAACTGACATTTTCTTAGTGAGATCTCAATATAGCATGAATCAGAATAAAAAGCGTATACCTCGATAACCATAATAGATTTCAAAACTTTGTTTGCACCAAAAGAATGTCCGTTTAATTCTGCATAACTTAGTTCAAATTGATTAAAAATATTCATGTTGAATAAATATTCGAGAAAAAGCTTGAAAATGCAAGAAGCGAAAACCTTTGAAAAAATGAAATTCAAAATGACTCAAAGGCATTTCACTATATCTACGACTATAGAAAACAAGATTTTGTCATGGAACCACGAGAAAAAAAGCGTTTTGTTTTTCCATTATTTGTACTATCAGCGCCAAAATAGAAGGCCGCTGGTTGTTTTCGAAATAACTCAAAGGTGATAAAAGATAGAGATCTAGAGTTTTCAGCAATCGAAAGAAGACAGTTTTGCCTATGTTTTCGCTAGCAAAATCCTTTTCGAAAAATATTCGGAAGATGGGTTTTCTAGCACATATTTAGAAAACCAATTCGAATCTCCGGATACGGGAATAGGAATCTATCAATTTTTTCCATGAGTGTACACATGTTTATAAAATCATCCATATCAGCGTGGTAAGTGACAAGCAGAATGGGTGTGAAGTTAGAACCTTGTGGGCGGAAAATGGGAAAATGGGACAAGTTTCAAGATATAACTCCAAAACTTCAGCAAGTTTATGATCAAGTAAGAATGGAACATGTGTATTCGAATATAGAGTGCAGAACACCAAGTATTTTAGCACAAACCTGCGATTGAATCGAAAATACGTGAAACATTTCCTCAAGTGCGAAAAGGATTCCAGCTGGAACCGGTTAAAGGATCTATGGTAGATGCTTGTGCTGTACTTTATCGGTTCAAGGTATACAGGTTTTGTGGTTTCTGTCTTTTATGTTTCTTATATTAATTACTCTTAGGTTCGAATATCAGACAACGACGAATGTGCAGAGGTAAGATTCAGTGTAGGTGGCTTTCCCGCGCCCAATTCAAAACCTGAACCGCCAACAATCGCAATAGAATCAGAACTGGTCAGTGTTGATGATGATTAATCTGGCATATTTCCTGTTCCATTCTTAAACAGAAAAAGACACATAAATGGAAAAGAGAACTTTAGTGACCTTCTCCTGACCTTTTAGTGACCTTGATTTTTGTATGTTCACTTTCTCACTTCGTTATTCAAATAATTTCGTTATTTCGTTATTTCGTTATTTATTCTGTTTTACAGAATAGAAACAGAATAACGTATATTTTCAAAGAAATAACTTAAACAACTTTCACGCACATATATATCTTGTTTTCCATTCTCGCGTGGCATATCTGTTAGTCTACATGAAGTTTCTTCCTTAAAAGGCTTCGGGTCTTTCAAGGAAGCGAAATCTAGAAATTGCTTAGATACCACTGTGAAGAGGGCATGTCGGGGTGCAAACCCTGCGAAAAAAATTCCCTCTAAAATTCGCTAATTTGTCCTTAATTTCGTAGGCTAAATCTGATCTAAAAAAGCACCTAGGAAGATCACTTTTCAACGTTGGCATGTACCCCCGACTGTCGTCTATTGAACCCTGAAAACCGCAGGTTGCTATGACTTTCCGTTCAAAAGTTATAAGCTCTTCTTCCACGCGCTTTCTTTGAAAATTCGGATAGTAGTAACTAGTAACGGAAAGCCGTTACTTTTCAGAGTAAATAACGGAAAGTAACGAGAACGTGCCACCCTACTTCAAAAAAAATCCCTTCGTTTTGTCCAGATAAGATCTGCCTTGTTGAATAATATAAAATCGATTACCGCGTTACCACAAACTACTAAACTCATTCTAAAAGGGTCAATTAATCTCACCCCAGAACAAAACATCCTTATCGTAAATAATGTCCATAAATACACAGCTCACACTAAGACATTCACTTAATACTCTTACTTCCTGTGCTACTCTATTTTATTGTTATATGTCTGGAGGAAAAGTTTTTTGGATATTATAATCCTCGTTAAATAAATTAAACTAACTAACCTGAAAAATATTAACCATCTGTACGGAACACGTGGATGATAAACTCAAATATTGGTGTGCTCAATGCTCGCAAGTTGGTTGTCGCGACTGTCTTCTGTTCTAAGCCAAAGACAACACTGTAATCTCAATTCAAGACAAAACTTGAGAGACAATTGCAAAATTCATTTACTGACAAATAAAAATATCCAGAAAACGATTGATTTAAGGGCGCTGAATAACACACTAACATACTCAGTAGTTGAACAGCGTAATAAAACTACAAAAATAAAAAATTAAATTAAATAAATGCTCAAAAAAAGTTAAAAAAGTTATTAAAATATTGACTGGATACTCAAACTATATTTTAAAAATATTATTTTTCATTCCTTAAGAAAAACTATGTGGTTTCTGCTTAGTGCTTTTTTCCGTAACTAGCATTTCCTTTCTTCTGACACCACATACTTTTCATAGTTTTCATGCTTGTTATCGCTCTCATACGATTCTACTTTTCGTCTCGTTCAAATTTTCATCGCTTTCATACCGGTCAAATCTAACATTTACTTACTGAGAAATAGCACTATTCTCAACAGAAATAGAGTAATTTTAGA